CATTTACCATCATCATCCAGGTGACTCCTTCAGTCTCAGCTGACTGCAGGTTTCCAACGATTTTCTGAATCGAGGCGGGGGCCCAAGGGTACATCTATCACCGTCTCACACTGCTGTGACTGCAAACTCTGTGCTACTCATTACCCAATATGGCAGTCTGCACATTAATGACCTCACAGCCCATTGTTCGGTGGGCTGATGTTGGAAACCTGCAGTCAGCTGAGACTGAAGGAGTCACCTGATGATGAAAACGTCCCGATGAACAGAGTCAGAGTTTTGGCAGATTAAGAACAAACATAAAGCACAAAACCTTTTCCTTCTTCTAGGCAGAGGGCTCTTTGAATTTCCCCTCATAAATAATATAACTGAAATGAAAGGACATCAAATGGAACAAATTACATAACAAAGTTCTCCTTTAAATAAAAAAAGTCGTTTTAAACTGAACTTAAAAGTGGGGTGAGTTCCATTACTGACATAAGACTGTTTCTGAATATTTACCATAGATTAAAAAAACAAAAGTCTGGTAACCATAAACAGAGCTTGTAAAAAGTATTCCTGTATAAACCATAATGGGCTCATACATGTACCCACTCAGTCACTTACTGTGAAAGTAACATCAGGACTGTGGGACACCGTTTCCATGAAACAGTGATGAATCTATTCTTAAAACCCCCAGAACAATACAATAGAATAAATGTTTTTCAGTGAACTTGTGTACTAAATCTGACTGCTAAACATCAATAAAATGGCTAAAACTAGGGAATAAACAGAGTTAAATTAGTAGGAAGGCTAAGCTCCTTGTAGCTCCTTGGCACTCTTTTTCTTTAATGTATGAAATAAGTGCACAGGTTAAGGAGATTGTCCATGTTTACCTGGAGGGCGTAGGAGATGGACAGTCCCATGATGCCTGGGCTGAGGCTCTGTCTGGCAACGACAGCAAACAAAGCAGCAAATGACACAATGCAGTTTCCCACAAACTCCAGGCGAATGGCCAGCCACCTGCAGAAACACAGATTCAGGAAAGTAGATTATTGTACAATATAAGGCGCACTTAAAATCCTTTGATTTTCTCAAAAATTGACAGTGCAACTTATGTATGAATTCTGGTTGTGCTCAAGGAGCCTCGCGGAGTGATCTGGGTCCTAAACTCCGTCTAGTTCAGGTCCCAAAGTCAAACGAGAGTTAAAAAC